TCTCTCTCTCTCTCTCTCTCTCTCTCTCTCTCTCTCTCTCTCACACACACACACACACACACACACACACACACATTTCTCTACTGTCTTAAACTTCAATGTGACAAAATATAAGTTTGAGGTGGAAAAATCTATAATATTCAAAGAGCTCCTACACATCCAGAAAAAAAAAAAAGATATAAAACACTTTACAGAAAAAGAAACTATAAATGACTGGTGAGTCAGTTTTGTCACCCTTACACAAACTAGAATTACCTGAGAAGAAGGAACCTCATCTGTGGAATTGCCTCCATCACGTTGGCCTGTGGGCATGTCTGGGGGGGGTGGGTTCTTGATTAATGATCTATGTGGAAGGGCCCAGCCCACTATGGGTGGTGCCCCCCACCCCATAGGAGGGCCTGATTTCTTATATAAACTAGGCCCATGGAGTAAACTATGGAGACCAAGCCAGTAAGCAGAGTTCCTCCAGGGTCTCTGGTTCAGTTACTGCCTCCAGGTTCCTACTCTGGCTTCCTAGAAGATGGACTGTATGCTATAAGATGAAATAAACCCTTTTCTCCCAAATTTGGTTTTGGTCATGGTGTTTATCACAGCAATAGACAGCTATCTAAGACAGCTGATAAATAAGTAAATACACTGATCTTCAAAAGTAAGCAAAAAAAAGTCAGACATTTTAGAATTAGCATTGCTTTACTCCACAAACATTTTATAGTATCTATCATGAGAGAGGCAGAGAAATAGGTACACACATTCTCTTAGTGAGAAAAAAATCTGTATGGGCGTTATGAATATTAGCCTTAATGGAGTCCTTTAAAAAAAACAAAACAACAAACAAACAAACAAAAAAAACAGAAACAGACACAAACAGGCACAAATGTGATTTAGAATGTTATTTGTTTGTTTGTTTATTTATTTAATGAGATGGTATCTCACCAGGTAGCCCTAGCTAGCCTGGAACTTTCTATGTAGACCAGACTCACCTTGAACTCACAGAAATCCATCTGGTTCTGCCTCCTGAATGCTGGGATAAAAGGCATGCACCACCACATTCACCCATGATTTAGAATCTTCTACAAAAATGTCTTTACTTTGTGCCTGTGCACACTCATTTTATAGGTTAACTAAAGGCAAGCCAAAAGCACAAAAACCAAAACTGGATTTCTTTGAAATTAAAAACTCTACGACAAATCATAATCCTAGGAATGGGAAGAGAGAGCCGGGCACAGTTGTGTATGCTTCTAATTCCAGCACTTACAAGGTAGACACAGAAAGACCAGAGCTGGAGACCAGCCTGGACTACATGGATCCCAGGAGGACAATGTTAGGTCTCAAACTCAGGACAAAAGGCTAATGAAGGGACCTTTCACATACTAGGGCAGACTCTGGCCACAGCCTTCCTCAGTCCCTACTCACCAATACCTGGGCTGGTATACCCAGCCCCCTTCCCTAACCCTCTCAAGCCTCTGAGCCTCACTTCCCCTCCTAGTTCCTATAACCCAGTCTCTTGGCCTCTTGGTCTTTGGCTCCTCTCTCTTGCTCCCCTTTCTCTCTCTTAGTCTGCCCCCAACCCCTACTCCTCTCGTGGCCCAGTCCAGTCTGCTGACCTGGTTCAGTCTGGACCCTTCCAATTGCCTCTGGCTGTGTCTTCCTTCGTATCTATAAACTTTCTACTCCTAGAAAGTTTACCTAGGAGCAGTCATGTCATTCAGACAGGGAATTGGAGGCCACCCTGGGCTACATGAGATCCTGTCTCAAAAATCAAAACCGAATAGGGGCCTAGCTTGGTAACACACACCTAAAATCCTAACATTCAAGAGGCTGAGGAAGGAGATCATGAGTTCAAGCCCAACCCAGACTATACAGCAAAACTGTGTCTCAAAGAAGAAAACGAAACAAACAATAAAAATGCACAGTTCTTTTTTTATAATCACACTCAAAATAATCTGAGTGTGATTACAAACAAACAAACAGCCAGGTGGCAGTGGCGAACACCTATAGTCCGAGCACTTGGGAGGCAGAGCCAAGGGGATCTCTGTAAGTTCGAGGCCAGCCTGGTCTACAGAGCGAATTCCAGGACAGGCACCAAAACTACACAGAAAAACCCTGTCTCAAAAAAACAGAAACAAACAAACAAACAAACAAACAAAACTTTTGTAACTAAATTACAAATAAAGCAAGTTTAAAGCAGCTCAATCTAAACATATGGATACCACTTTCCAGACAAAATAATAACTAATGTAAATTAAATTTCCTCATCAATGGATTGCAAGTACATCTGTAGCCACTACCATATTCTCAAATGAGATAATACAGTAAAAGGTTTCACAAAATATCTACTGTACCAACTTTTATACATCCATACAACCTTTCAAATTCAATGAAATTATTACATGGGGTTGAGTTGTAGCTCATGTAAAATGTATAGGGCATGCAAGGGCCCTGAACTAAATCCCTTGCAATAAAAAAAAAAACAAATTGTTATAGAATACCTTCAGATTAGTATCAAGTGTGCATAAAGGCAAATGTGAGGGTCATTCTCTAATAGGGACTGAAAAGCATCCCAGAGCAAATGCATTAAATCCAAAGATCAGAAACAGAAAATGGGTACCACAAAGCTAAATGAGAAAAGTAAGTTTTAAACCTAAATTTACCTTGATTTATCCCACTTTTTAATTCTGTGATATACCTAATTATTTTTAAAATGTTAGTCTTATGTTTGAAAACATAAACTATAGTCTTAAAACAAATCTAACTTAGATGAGTGGTTCTCCATCAAATGTAGTTAATGAATTTGAATCAGCTAATTTTTAAAACCATTTTACTTGAATACATAATACCACAGTTTCATGGTAGACTGCATTCTTACATGGCTAAGACCTTGAGTTTTATTTTAAAAGAAAGACTCTTTATTTCTGGTGATCTTACTCAAACACTAAAAAGGTACATTTCTCAGAATCTTCAGAATGGAAACGTTGATTAAAACGTTGATTAAAATTTTGTTTTGTTTTGTTTTATCCGGACAGTAAGAGGGCACAACAGGTAAGAACCCTCTGGCCAAGCCTGATGACCTGAGCTTGCTCCTGGGACCCACATGGTGAACAGAGGGAACCCACCTCCACTAGTTGTTCTCTGACTTCCATGTGAGTATGTGACACCCCCAAACCCCCATAGGTAGATTCATCCACATACAAAATAAAGAAAATGCAATACAGATATTAAAAATAAATAAAAATGTTTGTTGTTGTGTTGTCTTGAGACAGTGTCTCATGGATGTCAGGATGGTCTCAAACTCACTGTGTGCCTGACGTGACCTTAACTTCCGACCCTCCTGCCTTAACCTCCAGAGTGCTGGGATTTCATGCCTGGCCAATGTGATGCTGGAGATGGAATGGAGGGCTTCATGGACACTAGAGAAGCGCTCTACCAACGGAGCCACATCCCAGCTCTAAAATACAGTTTAAAGGGGTAAAAAGGAACAAAATGTAGATGATACACCGAAACTGTACAAAGAAAACAGTCTTCTCACCTGTCCATCCATTACTCCCAACAAAGTAGATTCCATCCACTGTACAGGTTCAATGAAGTAAGATGTACACTGAGCCTGACTCCCTGTGGTAAGTGCCAAAGACGGCGTCGTTCTCTTGTGAGCAAAGGCTATTGGCCCACTTCCTTCATTATGATCCAAAATACTAGAACTTTTAAATAAAGATCGCCTACAAAACCGCCAAAGACAAAAACATTAATGACTGCCAAAGGGTGAAAACAAAGATGAAATGTACAGTATTTCTTACAAGCCAAAACTATACAGCACTGAGTGTGCTACTCAAAATTTCAACAGCCCTACAATCTGATTACTGAACTACATTCTTTCTGAGGCACGTTTGAATTTAAAATTTCCACAATATTCAATTAAACAAATCCTTCCTACAGCGACAAGAAAATAAAACTTGAACTGCTTTTTCAATTGCCAAGACAATTGGACACAAAATATTTTACCTGCACTTTCTACATTTGTAGAGAATGTCATCTTTTAATCCTTGTGAAACGGTAGTCGGGTCAACAGCAAAGAGTTCTTGAGGTAAATTCTGGAGTTCTACAAGGTGATTTAAATACAACCAACTGTCAACATCAACCTAGATTTTCAGACAAAATCCCAATGCCAAACTGAGCCTATGCATTCTAAACTCAGAAACTGAAAACAAAGATCTCCGTGTTGAGAAATCAGGCCTTCACTCTAAATGGTACTGCCTGATTTCAATCTCAGCCATTTTTAAACCATGTGGGTTTTTACTAAACAAAGAAAACAACAGTCTCTGCCTCCTAGGATTTCTTGAAAAGAAATATAATGCATTTAGTTGTCCAAGTACATGACACCTCAGAAGAGTCCAAAGGACATTAGTAATCACTATTTACTCACCTGGATACTTCTCAGTAACCTTCTGCAAACGATACTGCTTGTAAATTGCACTAGAGGTATCGACTTCGTATCCCATTGCCTCATATAATTTCAGTTGCCATTCAAATCCCTCATTCATCCTGCAAAGAAAAGCAAGTGTGGAGTTCGGCTTGCTTTCAGTAAAACCTCAGGACAAAAGGAGAACTGGTAACAGCAGACGAGGAAGGCCCTAAGTTTGTCTAAGTGCAGGGACATGCACCCACCCACACACGTGCACTCCACACACACACCATACACAAACACACACAGACTTTGCAGGAAAAGAAAGAAGTGTTACTGTGACGGGACTCACTTAGCTTCTGGCTTGATGGTCTGCAGGTGTTCATAGGCTTTTTCAAAGGTGAGCTGGTCAGTCTTCATTATAAAGGCAGTGGCCACAGCGACACTCCGACTGACTCCCGCGTGGCTGAAAAAGAGACCTTCAAAATAAAACAGCAAATAGCAGCGATTAAAACCCAAGAGAAAGCCCAGCCCCTTGTGAACGGTAAAATGTAGGCCCACCTCACTTCTATCTTTTCCTTCCTCGTAGTCATGGCAATCTTCCTGTCTCAGCCTGCTAAGTGATGGGGTTACAGGTGTGCACCACTGTGCCCCGCTCATTTCTACCTCCACTCAAACTAACCCATTGCCTCTTACATGCTGCCAATATGCAAAAGTTGTCACTGATTTTCCTGTCCCTTTTTTAATTCTAAACAATATGGATGTATTAACTATTCAAAAATAACTACCTTAAAATTTTTCACCATTTTTGTGGCTCCTTTGCCCTTAACTTCGAGTTGTTCCAGACCTGGTCCCATACTTCTTCTATCACTACCTTCTGTCCTTACCTACGGCTTTACTACTACTGGTACACAGGAAGCGCCCAACAAAGCGTTCAAACCAGCCCAGCAGGACTACTCAGGAATCCCCACACCTACCAAGATTTTCCAGCCTTTCTTTTGCTGCAGTATACTGCTGTGGATATTGCTCTATATAAATAAAACACTGATGGCCAGTGACCAGGCAGGAAGTAGGTTGCCAGGGAGGAAGTAAGTGGGACAAGGAGAGAGGAGAATTCTGGGAAGCGGAAGGCTGAGGGGGGAGACACTGCAGCCACCGCCAGGACAAGCAGCATGTAAAGACTCT